CTGCCCTGCATACTGAACGTCAGACTTTGTGGCACAGAAAAAAGAAAAAAAAAAAATCATTTCCTGCACTTTTATGCTTTGAATGAGGTGACACGGAGCTACATTATGTTTGCATGTACAGTCACAAACAATGAACGTGCTAGTGGATCCCATGTAGCATTTTTACAGTGCTGAGATTTTCAAAAAGGTCAGAGGAGATGGAAGGTATTTGTGTAGGATGCATGTCAAGAGTGGGACTAAACAGGCCTTTAGTGGCAGTCACACTAAGCTTTCTGCCGGGCAGCAGGCATTCTTCCTCCATCCCCTATCCCATGAGCCTTTGCTGCTTGGACAAAGTCCTCTTTGTATGCCCATGGCTCTTGGCTAGAGCACACAGAGCTTTGAAATTGCGTTTGAACGATGGGATTTTCATTTCTATCCCTCCTTTTCGTGCTTGCTCTCACCCCACTTTGCTTTCACTCTGCACTGAACCTCACCCCCTCCGTCAACCCTCCTCACCCACCCTCCCACCTTTCTCTTAGCAACTGGTCGAGTGAGATAGCATTGCATTGACGCCAACACTGTGCTTGTTAGCAGCTTGGTTATTTGCTAGATTGCATGGATAGACAGCATCAGTTTCTCATTAGGAATCAGAAAATCCCCCATTTTTAGACTCCTACTATGTATGAGAAGAAGCTTAGGGAATTCATTTTTAACTCAGGAATTTGGGGTTTATGAATAATTTTGATGTCCAGTGACAGTTGTCAGTTGAAGGTGGTAGTGTCTTTATTATAAAATACTGTAAATACTGGACATGAACTTGTAATTAGTTTATCAGAATGCCCTGTACTGGTACTCTAATAACTTTGAATGCATTTAAATGTGAAATAATCTCCTTACTGATTGTGAGGTGTGGTGTTCCTCAGGTCTCTATCCTTGGTCTCCTACTGTTCTCTGATTACATGCTAGTGGTCATAACTGTGGTCTTGCTACCTTTTATTAATGTCCCTAGTGTAACTGAACCCTTTCATTTTTGTAAAATAGTGCTTGTTACCAGCTTGGTTTTTGCTCGATTGCATGGATAGACAGCATCAGTTTCTCATCGGGATTGAGAAAATCTTTCTTGTAAAAACAGTTTTTGACTTCTAGTGTGTATCTAGTGTGTGAAGAAGCTTAGGGAATAAATTTGTATTCATGAATTTCAGATTCATAAACATTTTTGATGTCCAGTGACAGCTGTCAGTTGAAACTGTTGATTTCTTTATTGAAAAATACCGTGAATGCTGGATATGCATTTTTAATTAGTAATAGACTGTAGTTTACATATGTAGGATATAATAGCAGATTCCATCTGTAAACAGTGGGTGTTAGTTTTTCCTCATCATGTGCCAAAGTCTATTTTTGCCAGAATAATGTGTTTCTTTAAGCAGAATGTCTTTATTTTGACTTCAGAGAGCAGAAAATAACAATACAGCATTAATGGATTGTTTCATTACAAGTGTATTATCACTGTAAAGTGCTTCATGCTGCTCTGTGGAAAGAAAGCACCGTTCTTAATGTGTTTTTAGCCACTCATTTTAATTAACTATATACACATTTAGGAATTCAACAGTAGATGCGCTGTGAGTCTGCATCACTGAACTCTTTGCCCTCACCTTGCACTGCTGGCCATTGTTTGCATGCAATTTTGGCAATATCGGTATTTAAAGCTTGTTTTAACTGTTTACTGTAATCAACGTAAATCGCTTTGGATATGAGTTTCAGCTGAATGTGTGTAACGCACATGTAAATTATTCCCTCTAAGGTGTTATTAAACAGGTTGCGGTGACTTAAGCTAGTTGCAGCTTGTGGAAATGCGTGTGTGTGTGTGTGTGTGGGAATGTGTGTGTGTGTGTGCCAGCAGACAGTTTATCCCCACCTAGTAATCTTACAGCAGCTTGTCTGGCTCGTACCTGCTGTTGTTGTTGTTGTGCCGCAGCAAACACAATAAGGGGAAACTGCAAGCCTTCGCCTCATTTACTTGTCGGCCATGCTGCTGACTGAATGAATGAATGACTCAAAGCGGTGGATGATGTGATGTTAAGAGCTGCGTGTATGCAAACGTCTGAATTTCACTTGCAAAGGAAAGTCCAGTTAAAGACTCAGCTCTTAGGTTGGAGTGGATTATTGTCCTTCTTCTGTGGTGCAGGTTGTTTTTACTTCCACACCTAAATAAGACACAAGAAACACTTTGCTTCACTTCTATTTCATTAAAAAGGTGTTTAGGTGAAGGATGACCATTGTAAGAAAGTTTCAAATAGACTCCTGCTCACTTTACAACTGGCAAAAAAATATTTTTGTCATGTTTTTGTGTGTGGACATCTATTTGAAACGCCTACATAAATTCAAAGTGTTTTCTTCCCCCTTTTTTTACCACTTTCATTTCTCTGGGTTTCTGTGGTCATTTTTTCACTCATGTTTTACATGCCTTTTGGACTGACAACAATAAAACTCCAAGCAAAACTCTGAATAATTGAAGTTTTTAACTACATTCAGTGTGTGTAGTCGCTGCACTGGTGCTAACGCATTAACAGCCCATTATGTAATCAGATCAGCCAGCTTTGTTATTATCACACACCCAGACAGACACATACATGTCATGTAGTTGTGAGGACCCTCGCTGACACAATGCAGTCATTAACCCCGATCCTAAATCCAAGTCTCAAACCACAAAAAGCCTCTTGACAACATGAGGACCAGAAAAATTCTCCTCGCTTTCCAAAAAGTCAGAGTTATCCTCACACAGGCTGACTAGCAATACAGTACAGTCAAGCATGTTTAGCCAAACAACAGGACTGTATAGTAGGAGTATTATGCATGCAGGATAATGTTTCCATCTCAGTTTCTTAAGCTTAAATTTTAAAAGATGTTATCAGTTTTGAATAAACCAATTGAATCTGGCAGACATACTTACTCACCTCAGTAAATCAAAAATACTGAGTAGGAATCTGAGGCTCCATTTAAGTTAATCAAATTACTTGTTTTAAAGTCTCAGTTAATTAAACCCCTAAAAAAATCATCTGTTTATCAAGTTCACAAGTTTATTTACAAGTCCCCCCCCCCACCGACAGTAATCCCTTCCTGACTTAAAATGTCTCAGATGTAGCTCCACACTGTAATTTTATCTAGAATGTGCAGCTCTATGAAGTCCCTACCTTTTTTTTCCCATCCATCGCCCCAAACTGACTGCAGTTCGAGCACACCAGCTCACCTTCAGCTCTGCTCCACACTGTGAAACTACTCTACTCTAAATTGTAATGGAGCAGCACATGTTTGAACCATTAGTTGATTCTGAAGAAGAATAATCACACAGATAGAGATTTTGTTACATACAAAGTCTTCATTTGTGTTTTTGAGACTTCCATTGCTACACCGAAGTTTTAAGGTGGAAATGCTCATCAGTAGTACTCATTGTTTATTTTAACAGGGTAAGAAACTTGATTTTCGCCAGAGGGGATCTTAAATCTTGTATCACTGGAGTAGACTCTATGCATGGGAGCTAAACACAAGTACAAAAAAATATCTTGAATTTAAAATTACAACTCCAACACGCTTCACAGTCCAAAGTATTGTTAAAATAAAATTAAAATTAAGTGTCATTTTGGAGAAACATCTCTTTATCTACATACAGTGTCTAATCACCAACTGACATTAATGATATTTCACTTTTTATTAAGAGCTTAAATTTAATTGGAGCTGCAAAGCATCCCTACGTTTACACCAGATTAGAAAGAACGGACTTCCTTCTGACTGCCTGCAGTAGCGAGTGTCTAATGTATAATGCAGCATCCAGAATGAAATGACACAGCAGGGCTTCCATTTGCAGTGACATTGCCGGTGAGAAACAGCAGTAATCAATAACAATAACGGCTGCTGTGCTCTGTTTAGGGGGACAATGTCAGAGGTACAGTAAACTGTATTCAGGCCCGTGTGCACCTGTTACACTGTGACAGGCTGATTCCTCCAGCAGAGATGGCATCATTTCATTTATTAGTCTTTCTGTCATCCTCATAGCTCCAGTAAAAGCAACCAGACTTGAATTCAAGAAGCTAAAAGAAAAGTGCAGAAGCATCTAGGAAGCTCCATGACCTGGATGACTGAGAATCTACACGGACAAGCTCTTCTGTAAATAAGCTGTAGCTCCAGTCATACTCCATGTGCTGGTGTTGTTTGGTTATTTGCTCACGACAATACTCGTACATGGGCTTTCATGAAATGGGGCGGCGATTATTCGCGGGCTCTCACTCAGAGTTTCAGATATTGTGTGCACTCGTTGGAAGAAGCTGTGATTGTGTCGACATGTTTGAATAGCACTGGAAAGTATTTATACATCGGTCCTGTTGGGATTGTGTTTGGCTCTGTTTAGTGCTACTCTCTCAAAATTCAAATGAGAAGACAAGGGGAGGGAAAGCCAAGCCACAGCCGGAGAATAGGCTAGTTTGTGGACCATTTCCTAATTGTTAATGAGGCGCTTCAGGGCAGTTTGCCAAGGCTGGAGGGCCAATGGCAAAGGCCTGTTTGAACAGTGAAGGGGGGGGGAGGAGAAGCTGTGGGGACACTGTCACTGAGGGGACCCCTAAACCCCATCGGCCCCCTCCTACCTGGTTCACAAAGTTCTGGAGCAGGCAGCCGAGAGCCGCCGTCACTTCCACCCAAGACTTTAATGAGGGTTTAGCTGCTGCTTCGGGACTCTTCTGGACTCGTACAGTCTGATTAGCAAACCTCCGGGTCAGCTGACTGGGAGAATAAAGAGGGGGTCAGTGAGATTTTAAAGATGTCCAACAACAACAATAACCAGGAGGAGAAGGAAGAGGACACTGAGGAGAAGGAAGAGGAGGTCATGGTGAAAATTCCCCCACCTCCACCTCCTCCTGAGGTCAATGGGAAGAGTCCAACTGAGGACGACAAGCCGCTGCCCAAACCTTTGCCCAACGGCCACCACTGCCAGCCTATGAACCGCAGTATTTTTCCTCTCTCCACAGTCTCACCTGCAGCCGAGAGGATCCGCTTCATCCTCGGGGAGGAAGATGACGGTCCGGCGCCTCCGCAGCTCTTTACCGAGCTGGATGAGCTGCTGTCAGTGGATGGACAGGAGATGGAGTGGAAGGAGACGGCCAGGTAAGAACCTCAGAGGCTTGTAGGGATGTTTAGAAACCTTCTCTATAGACTGTCACTTGCAAAAAATCTAACACAGTGCCTCGATAAATTCCTCTACACAGTAAAAGTCTCGTTAATAAGTGTGTCAAAATATCCCTTAAGACTTTTATTTATTTCCTAAGATGGTTTTAAATCCCAGGTTAAAGAAACTGAACAAACTTTTCTGAACTTCAGCTTCTTGTTGCTCTAAAATCAAGCTTGCAGGGCTTCCCAGGTTTCTCCTGTGTGGCCCACTAGTGGGACGTGATGGGATGGTTGTTTATACATCATTAGCATTGGCTGAGTGAAGCTCTGTCAGGGGGAAACTGGATCCCTCTGCTGCTGTTGGAGGCACCAAATGAGTTGATTTGTCATCCCAACCTCTGAACAATTGTACTGCAGATAGAAGTTTTAGTTGATTAGAACTGCTGCTTGACTAATTTGCTCTACCCAAGAACTTCAAATAAACTCAGTATACCGTAAAAGTGCCTTTACTTAAACTTAATAAAGCACTTTTAAGGATAAGTTTGGTTACTATTCTAGTTAAAAGCTAGTGTGAAATTTTGTTTCCGACGGCATTTATAATGACAGATGATACATTTGTGCAGCTTAGATTGGCACCAGTGGATTTTAACTGAATCTTTATGTCAAAATTCAAACAGTGACAATATGTGATTGACCTTAATTAACCTCAATTTGACAAAATAAATGGATAAAAATGCAACTTAAACAAGAGTGCATTATGACATTTGACAGTGTGAACTTGGGAATAATGTTTCTGATCATGTCATGTCAACCATCTGATAAAAAATGATGGAAAACAAACAAAAACAGATAAAAGTTGCATCTACTTGGGATTGCTTTAAAGACGCAACCGAATAGAGTTTTTGTCATTCTCTCAAAATAAAAGATATTCAAAATAGAGGGGAATAAAATTGAGTTGTTTCATGCTACACTTTACAAAATACAAAAATATGTACAAAATGATAAACAGGGAGAAAAAAACAAAACAGGGGCAATAGATAGTTTTTCAACCAAATAAGAATCAGAAATTGTTTTGCCCCAACATAACTGTACAAATAAGAAACCAACAGGATTTATCGATAGGAGTTTATTATCAGGGTTAAATGCTCCAGATCCTTTTAAACAATAACCTGTTACTTACTATTTAAAGTTTAAATACTTTTATATCTTTCTTACAAAAGAGGGAGGAAAAAAAAAAATCAATCCTGTGTCTTTAATGATAAACTTACTGTTCTGCAAAAAACTGCAGAGATTAAGAGGTGGTGCAATGTCTCACCAAGTGCACTCAGGGGGCTCAAACTGAATAAAAGGTCTCACAAGTGCCGGGTAGTGCTGGCTGCCAGCCAAGTGCAGTTTTGACAGCCAAATTGGCCAAATAAAACCCTGGTATAGAAACAGCTGCTCAGTACCAGTTCACTCTCTCATCCCTGTGACTCTGAGGGAGGCAGGAGGGGGACTGATTAAATGCATACATGACCCGAAGAGAAATCACAAATCTGCATCAGAATTTAATTCACATCTTCAAAACTGTAGACTTTCATCATTTTCTTATGCATGTGTGTTCATTACATTTGAGAATGAATCACTTTTTTCTTGATGGTGGAACATTCCTTGTCTTTTTTTTTTGCCCACTTTTTAAAGGCAAAGTTTCTTATTCGATTAACTTCCCCCCAACATGACAACAGCATTTTTTAGGTGTGATTTTTTTGTTTTGTTTTTGGGGCTGCTATGAGATTTGTGAAGCAGTTACAAACCTGTGATGTATCATAACAGACCTAAAACATGCACATGTGCACTTTATTCATGTTTAATCTGGAAGTTGGCACTTGATAACATCGACATCAGCTTCATTTATCCGGATTGTGTGTGAACATGTTGCATCACATAGTTGCGTATTTTCACGTCCACCAAAGATGGGATCTATATGTTAGCATATTTTTTTTGAATTGCACTTCCATGTAAGAGTTTATCCAACATAATGGAAAAAAATAAAACAATTTGAATGTTTACATGCTTTTGTTTTTGCTTGTAACCTCCTTCCAGGTGGATCAAGTTTGAAGAGAAGGTGGAGAAAGGAGGTGAACGTTGGAGTAAACCACACGTGGCCACGCTGTCTTTACACAGCTTGTTTGAACTGAGAACCTGCATAGAAAAAGGCACCATCATGCTGGACTTGGAAGCTTCCACTCTGCCTCAGGTTGTTGGTAAGTTTGACTCAGGTCCCCTCTTACAGTCACTTTTAATCTCTGAGTGCTTAAAGGTCAACCAGTGTATCAGAATACAACATATATATTTAGTAGATTTATTTCAACAATCTCTACTTGATTAGAATAATTCCAAATATATTTATATAAAAAGCTGTGTTGTAGCTTTCATAGATTATGTTCACATTGTTCTATAGCAGTGAAGGGTAGTCAGATAATATTATTTTATATTTCTATAACTGAAGATCAAGAACATGGTATGGAGCACAAATACATACAAAGTACAATAAATGTTTAACAAGTTTTACAAATAACTTATGGCTCATCTGACTGCAGCAACAATATGAATTTAAATTTAAATAATAGTTTTGTAAATATTTCTTTTTATATTTCAGTGTGCTTACATTCTTACATTTATTCAAAACATGTTCCTTTTCTTCCAAATGATTGTCATCACAAAGGCGACGTTATTACATTTTCTATCTTCCAGTGACCTGAGGATCTGTGGTTTTATTCACTCTAAAGTAACAAAAAGCCTGCCCGCCTGCACTTTGGGTCTTTATTCAACAAACAACTTTTCTTGCTCATATTTTTCGAGTTCTTGTATGAACCTTGCCTGCGGTGTTTTGTGCAAATTGGAGGCAGTTGATGGATTTCTGGTGCATCCTAGTAAATAAGGAGTTGGAATAATCCAAATGCCTGCAAGATAATCAACAACAGTTTGTGCATCACTGAATGAAATAAAAGGTAAAATCTTGCCAAAGCTCCTGATTTTACTCCAGCTAATTCGGTGATATGCTTAGACTGTTCAAAATTGGGATTGCTCCCAGATTTCTGGCCTCCTGGGTGGACTGCCAACCTCTGGAAACTGAAGTCTGAATTACATAATCCCTGCGTGCTCTGGCTCCAAACATCACTTCAGTTTTGTCCTTGTTCAAATTTAAGAAGTTGCTCGTGAGTAAGGAAGCTGAGGTGAAGTGGGTTAGTTGATCTGCCTGTTTTCTTTTAAAAAAATGAAAGGAAACATTGGAGTTGTGGACAACTGGACCCAGTGGTAACATGTATATGGAGAACACTAAAGGGCCTAGAACAGACCCTTGGGGAACCCCACTGGGGATTATTTCCAATGGATACAGAGAAAGTTCTGTCAGGCAAGACTTAAACAAGTCTAGAGCAATCCCATCCATGCAGAGCTAGTTTTTTAATTGATCGATTGAAATGCTGTGATCAATTGGTCCAACAACACCAAAACAGTACAACTACCAACATCTGAATTTGTCCTCAATGTCATTTATTACTAGTGTTTCTGTCATATGTTGAATTCTGGACTAAAAAGTGACAGAGTGAGTTACTCATAAAATATATGAGCTGAGAGTAAACCACGTTCTTTAGTACTTTGACAAAAGATAGCAATTTAGATATGTGTCTAAAGTAATCAAGTTTCTGTGTTATGGTGTAATTTCTTTCAGTAGCAGTTGAACAACAGCCAATTTTAAAAGTTGGCGGAATAAAACCTGAAGACCTCAAGTTTTGTGCTATCAGACTAACTATCAGACTAACTATCAGACTAACTATCAGACTAACTATCAGAAGACAGAAAGGCAGAAACTTTCTAAAATCTTGTGGGTTAAACATCTAAAAGATAAAAGAATTAAAGTTATGATATAGTGAAAAGAGATTGTATCTGGGATTTATTTACTAACTTTATTAACAAAAAAGACTTCAGCAGACTTCATTGGACTCAAAAAGGCAGTAAATTATGGAGAATATATAGTAGTAATAGTAGGTAAATAGCAGTAGCAGCAGTATTTTTTTTCTTTCTTTACAGTGTTGTTAAACTCTTATAAAAGCCTTCTCATGACTTAAAATTGCACTTTAATTTGCAGGCAGTTTATTCCAGCCATGAATACCTGCGAGGCTGCAGACTTAAGTTTCTTCATCCAGTCTCACAAGTCGATTTAGCACTTTTACAGTGTTTAACCAAGGTCATAATCTGCCCCTAAACTTTGTGATATAATATAACAATAAAAAGGCTACTTTGCAAAATGTGAAGTATAGTTTTATATCTCAGAAATATGGTGATGAAAAGCAGAATTTGGGTAAATTTTGCTCTAAATTTTAGTATAAAATGATGGGATTGACTGAGTTTTTAGACTATTTTCTGGGGTTTTATCATCAAGTTATTCTCTGTTACACACTGCTCTGTGTTTGTACTACTGTATGATGCCTGATCAAGCTCAGCATCCTCCTGCTTGTGAAACCACCCTCAGCCTGCCAGCGTGATCCGATCTGCTCGCTGATGTTCAGTGTATGCAGCGCTGCTCTGCAGGGTTGCGTGCAGGTTCGTGGATTGATGCGCATCACAAGACCCCGAGGTTTCTTTCCTTCCTCTCTTTTGTTTCAAGAGTAACAAAAGGCCACAGCGGAGGTCCAGGCTACACTTTATGTTGCAAAACTGCTGGACTCAAATAGTAGTTTTGAAAATGGTCCTCACAAAAACTTCCTCATTTGAGGACAGCCAACCCCGTCCAGAGACGATTGTGTATCTCTGCCCTCCCATGTCATGCCACCACCACAACGTTTGTGTCTGCATGAGGGAGCAGGAGGAAGAGTTACCACTTGGACTGATTAATGTGAAGTAATTGAGTGTGCTGCACGGACTGCACGGGGCCTCTTCCTCTCAGGCCTGCGGACTTGACTGATGGGCCATTAACAGCACTGACGAGAAGAGAAACTCCCCGAGGCTGCTCTCTGTCAGCATTCGGGCTTCTGACCTTCTTTTTTAAAAATAGGCTAGACCTTTTGATTGAGCCATTTCATGATGCCACGAGCACTCTTACGCAGGAGCATTACAGTCTGGGAGGCTCTAATTGAGTCCTCAGAAGTATGACGAAGCTTTTTATGGCAACTAAGGATGGTGGTGTTGCTAAATCAAGTCTGTATTAAAGGAAAAAGAGACCCAAAACATGAAAACAACATTTGAAAGATAAGCACAATCTGAACTGAAACAACGAGCACCTTGTCAGTAGATTAGATTCAACTTTTTTGGCTGTTGCACAGAGTACAAGACAATGAAATGAAGTTCAGCATCTGACCAGAAGTGCAGGAAAATATAATATACAGAGTATGTTACAGTATAAATAGATTCAACAGTGTGGACAGGGGTATGAACACATTAAGTACACAAGTATAACAGCTGTAGATAACAATAAAAAGACTGAAACAGTTGTTGTAATTTACTGCATTGTTGCACATAAAGTCATAAAACATCTGTTAATTTTAGTGTGTCGACACTGAAGGCTGTTTTGTTTTTACATTTAAGTCTTTGGATTCTCTGAACTTTGAGTTGTTTTCACTAAAATTGAAGAAAAGATCCAATAAATTGTACAATAATTAAATAAAATGCTGGCTATAATATTGTAATATAGCAGCTTAAAAAAAAAAAAACGTCAAGTTGCAGAAGTTTTTTCTGTCCGGAGTAACACTAAAATATTCATTTTTTCTGATTATGTCTTTCCTCTCTCCACTTTCAGAGCAGATCACCGACAACCAGATCGAGATCGGCCAGCTGAAACCCGAACTGAAGGACAAGGTGATGTACACGCTGCTACGGAAACATCGCCACCAGACCAAGAAGTCCAACCTGCGCTCTCTGGCCGACATCGGCAAGACGGTCTCCAGTGCAAGTAGGCTGTTTTCCAACCAGGAGAACGGTAATACTGATGCCAGTTTGGTGCAGTCTTCTGTTTTTTTTATTATTATTGGGGTTTTTTTTGGGTACAACAAAATAGGCTGTTTTACCTGCCATTTTGTTACTGGGTTTAATTAATTAGGGGTTTGATTTTTTGTTTTTGAAGTTAGAGTGTGGTGGGAGAGTTTTGAGGGCTGCGATGAATGCCACAGTGTCTGCTGCCCTCCTCTGCATGAACCCACTAATGTGGCACTAAATTGTCCCAAATAAGTTTCTACTTGAACCAGACTTATGTGAGACTTTTCCAGATTTCTCCCCCTTTGTTTCTGAAATCTTGAATGTGTTAACACAAAAACTACAGTGCTCACTTCTGCTAATTCATCACAGACAGTTGATGTCATCACTCTAACAGCACTTTAATGTTCCCTCTGTAGACTACTGTACTAACTGCAGTCACAGATGCATGACTTAATCGATTAGAAGCCAACTGTATCAGCAGCACCTGTCAATGCAGCTGGAGATCATTTCGACTCGACTTCAGCTGTAATCTTCAGCTCTGAAGAACTGAGTCGTTGCATGATTTTATGACTCCGGTGAGAAGTCCAAGGCCCAGCAGAAATCATAAAAGCTCACCGTGTTTTGAACCTGAGAGATTATCAGCCGTCAAAATCTCATGATTCATGCTTACAATAACGTTTCACCGAATTAATTTTGATTAAATGCACGTTTTATTTACTGTATAATGTCATAATTCTTTCCTCACACAGGACGGGCTGTCGCTTTATCTCACTGCAGATGATCGGAAACTGAATTATTTAAAAAAAAAAAAAAAATCACAAATAAAAGAATGAAAATGTATTTAATTGGCCATGTTTAATTGGATTGTCACTGCTGCTGTATAATATGGATTTAACATTAATCCAGTGCATTCTGAATATCAGACTGAGTGAAACGATTTTCTAGCCTCACAAAATCCTCACTTAATGAAATTTAAACAAACAGCTCAGTTTTCTGAAGACGTGAATATTTTCCTGAGCAGCAGAAAACAGCATTCGGTTTCTTAAACTGTGTGATTCAGATCATCTCCATCATGAGGGAAGCAACAGTCCGACGTCACCAATAAATGACAATAACAACACAAGTTTGAATGTTTCGATCTCTGCCACTGAATAAGTACAGTTGCTCTCAAATGTATTCATACCCTTCCATTAAAGAAAAGGCAAAATTCACAATAGTCACTCAAACAACTAGAAACTGAAGAAAGTAATTATAAATAAAAATTTGCTAAATTATAATTTTGTGAAATAAGACATTGCTTGGGTATTGTGGTTAAAAAAAATAACAATAATAAAAAAAACTGTCCCGGCCAAATAAGAGCACTTTGCTGATGAGCAGTTGGCCAGAATACCTGTCAACAGGTGCAGAAGTCTGATTGAGAGTCACAGAAAACACTTGACTGCAGTGATTGGCTCAAAGGGTTGTTCAACAGAAATATTAGTTTACGGGTCCCATCATGCTTGTTTTTTAAATTTATTTATTTATTTAAAATATTTCTGTTGAACCACAATTCAAAAGCAATGTCATGATTTTCATTACATTTTTATTTATTATTACTTTTGTCAAATTTCAGCGTATTTCAGTGACTGCTGCTTTTTTCCGTCTTTTATGGGAGGATATGAATAAATGTGAGGATGACTGTAGATGTCTCACACTGTGTAATTAATGTGTTATCAGCCGCGGGCCACTGGGCGGTTAAGTCATTTATTACCTGCTATCGGGTTTTCAACGTTTAATGATCAGAAGAAAGACTCCTTCTGTTCTGACTTTGCTTTTATTAAGCAGTCAAATGGAAAGTCACCACATTAAAGCCAGAACCTTTTCCCCGGATCAAAGGAGAGATAAAAAAGCTTCACTCATAATCATTAATTGATTGCAGCTCTTGGAGGTGAAGTCGTTTTATCGGTTAAATTACAGTTCGAACCACCTCTTCTGTCCAGTGACCCGTGGCTCATGTATCGACATCACTTGTCTCACATCGCTGTTTATCTACACAGCTGATAAAATACAGATAAATCCAGTTTTCACATCTTTTAACAGCCACTTGATTTTGCTCCCTTAACCAATCTCCTGCTTCGGCTCAGTGTCTCTGCCTTCACCTCTGCCTTCCGTCTCTCTTTCCTCCTTTTTGCTTGCCTGGATTTGATAAACCTGCTGCTGCTACTTAAAGCTCGCAGTCCTCTTGAGAACTCGGTGACCTGCCTGTCAGGTCGCATCTCAATGGAGGACCTGCAGACCCAAAGGAGCACCAGTATGGACTGGCTTAGTAAGTCCACTGGGCCCAGAAACGTTCACACTGCAGCTCTGATTTGTCAACAATTGTCAGCTAATTTGACCAGACTGATGCGTCGTTAAGAAAGCCTGTGTATTTAACTTGGCATCAATAGGGCCGATCTTGGAAAAATATCAAATTAAAGTGATTTTTATAACAAACATTAGGATTTGTGATATATATATATTTTAAAACTTCAGTTCAAAATGTCTGGGGTAATAGATTTACTACATGAACATGACCACGTGAAATATAGTTTCTTATTCTAATCCAAAGATGAGAATTTACCAAACATCAAACATGTGTCTAAATGTTTTTCAATGCCATTTAAAGGAAAGAAAAAGTAATTTCTATAGCATGGTTGAAACAAGCTGAGTGCTGTACATGTTAACAGTCAGGCAGCAACAAAAAAAGGTGCAAAAATCAATCAATTTATACATTTAAAAAAGAAAAAAGAAATATTAAAACAAGGCAAAACATGATATCGTGTCACAAGATGTAAGTTTAAGATAAAATAAATACAAAATCTTAAAAGTTAGGACCCTTAAGAGCTCCCGAACACCATAGGTAACATGTACATCTTGAGATTTTTGAGTTTCAATATGTCAAAGCTTGGAAGCAGCTACAGCAAAGACTCAATATTTTGGACCTAATTTAATCTAAATAAATAGATAAAAATTAAACAACAAAAAGAAAAGAAAATTGAATTGAAAATAATTGTCTCTTTCTGCAAGACAATCTCTGAGCAGCACCTGAATGTTACACTTTCTGCAATCAAGTTAAATAAAGAAATGTTAGTAGAGAATAAATAATTCTGGGTCAGATGTGCTGCATAGTATATATATATATGTATATATATGTTAAATTCCAGCTTTTGTGATTTTGATTTTAATTGATCAATTGTTCTTGTCCAAGTCATAACACTCACTTGGCCAAACTGCCAAGACACCAAAATGTTGTTTTTCTTGTTAATTGAACCCCTAATTTACGTCAGAGGCGTCAGTGTCTCGCTGTGCGAATCAGATTCATGTCGCATCAGAACCAACAGCTGCAGTTTGAACGCAGTCAGGGCCGACTTGAAATGTAAAAATCTAATTCATGCTGCATGTGTGCAGTAAAGTAGATTCATGTGCTTCATAGTATCAATGAACAGCTTTTTTTTCATAGTTGTGTTACACATTTTTTAAAAATAAAACTTTCCCTGTCAGATTTATTTTGAGTATTTCACAGCAACAGTTGATCCCTTTTTTCACCTCTTATTTATTTATTAAAAAAAAAAAAGAAGCTATATAAGATACTTTGTGGTTAATTGCATAGTTCATTAGTTGTTTTCGTTAAGTGGCTGTAGTGAGATTTTTATTTCGGGGCTGCATCACACTGACACACGTTATTACCCACAATGCTGAGGAGACAGATGTTCGAAAGGCAACAGTGGCACCAGATTTTGCACTCGTTGAGATTTTCTTTATTTTTTTATTTTTTATTCCCCCCCCAACTCCACTCTGTGATCTCTGGCAGCTCCAGGACCGAAGGAAGGTCAAACTCTGCTGTCAGCTCTCTGATGCTGCAGTTTGACGAGCTGAAACCGAAAGTCAGCAGAGCGTCAATCAGAGTCTGACGCTCACCTGCTTCACGTGAAGGAAGCACTTAGAGCACTTTGATGAGAAAGACAGGACACGAGGACGGGCAGATATTCTCCACAGTGGAGCTCAGGCTGTCTGTAGCACATCTGTAGGTGCTGCTCAAGCTAATTCTGCAGAATTTAGATAAACATGTATGAAGAATAGTCATTTAAATCAATTAATGGAGAGCAGCTGCTTTGAAAACAGTGAAAGGGATTTATGTTAACATATTCAGCCTCTGTGGTGAGCTGGGCTGCTGCTAATGACTATTTTTAAAAAGTCTTTCTCAATGAATCAATTAGTTATTTGATCTATAATTTATGAGAGAAATGCTGATCAGCATTTCTCAAAGCCCACGATGACGTCTTCAGATGTCTTGTTTTTTTGTCACCTAAAGATAGTCGGCTGTCAGAGGAGACACAAAACCTTTTTTTTTTCTTTACAAAAATGACTCAGAACAATTAAGCAATTATCAAAATACTTGCTGATTAATAGTTGAGACTTAACTGATTGTTTGCTGCAGCTCTGGTAGTAAACAGTCTGTGTGAAAGGTGACGAAGCTTTTAGCAATATTTTCAGGAGGTACTGTAGGTCCAGTTATTATCCTGCCAGACATTTCTCTGACTGATAAGTGTCGAGGAATTCGTCATCTGCTCGATCCAGAGTTTGTGGTAGCTGATGGTCGGCGGCGTCTTTCTGTCCCTGCATGAATACGGCTGCTGCCGTTGTTTTTCCTTTTTGGTGTTGCTTGTGGAGCAAACTGTCTGGGCCACTGTCTTTTCCTGGGTCTCTGCCTTCCTCTTTTCCACTCAGTTTTTAATTTTTTTTTCTGACCCTGGTGAAGATTGAAGCTGCTCTAACTGTACAGTGTTGTGTTTAAACAGACAGTCCAACCACGACTCACCGGAACCTGGCGTCCAGCAGCCTCAACGACATCTCTGACAAACCGGAAAAAGACCAGGTGAGTCGATGTGGTTGTCGTTGTTTGTTGTCTTGTGTCCTTTGCTGCGGTGATATCTGCACACAGTTATAAAACAGTCAGACTCAGCGGGCAGGGATTGAACATTTCTATGTCTAAGCATATAAAGATGTTACTGTTTGCATATAAAACTTATTTTGATTGTGTCATTGATTGCCACATAATAATATTAAACTGAATTCACCCTTAAAATAGGCTTGTTAATCCTGTAAACCTCTAAACTGGGGAAAAAAATCACTAAGTTATACCATTGACTTGAGCCAGAAACTGTAAAAACAGAAATAACTTTAACATTCAGACACTCCTTCAACTAATCGTATGTAACCAAAACCAAATTTAAGGTTAAAATTGTAATATTTCATTGAAATCACAATATTCTAGATGTGCACATTTAAAAATTCACCAAAAATAAAACGTTTGTATCAAGCAGATTATGTAAAAAACAAAAAAAATCTGTGCTCCTCGGTGCAACCACGATTAACAGTCACATGACAAACGTTCAGGTAGTTTTGGGTTGAGCTGCAGGCTGCGTTCAGCAACAACAGAGAGGAGACAAATATGGAAACACATTTATATAAGTAGTAAAATACAGTCGTATGTACAGTGTCCAATTTTTCCAGTATTGGTAGCACCTGTGAGAAAAATGTTGTTCATATTAATTCCATGTTTTTTCAATTTTTGTTTAAAAAATATTTTAAAAAGGGATCAGAAGAAAGAAAAAGATTTATGACATGGCTTTTGTTATTCTGCACAGAAGACACTTTGAGTTTTTCTTCCTTCTAGACATGGTTGAGCTGCAAAACTTCACATTTCATTGAAAAAATGAGTCCACTGTCAGTAAAAATGTGACAAAAAGGGCTCTGAAGCTGCTTGAGGTTCAAAGAGTTAGCTGCTAATTAAACCAGATTTCTCAGATGTAAAATTCAGCTTCATGTCTATTCGTTCTGAAAATGGTACATTTAGGAGTATTTTAGGGGAGATACAGAACGACCAGCATATCCAGAATGTTTTGACTCAAATGTGAAAAGCAAAGTGATGCACTGGTCCAATCAGGACAGCAAAGGTGAGAAGAGTCAATCATTTATTTAAAGGCCTGCTTGAAATGACGTCCGTCAGACAGAACTGCCTTTAAAGCCTGACTGGACCAAAACCGACAGAATCACAGCCTGATGCAGCTTCATCCAGACCAGAGCAGGACCAGGCCGCCTGAGCAGACTGTGGTTCAGAGACAACATCGTCTAAAGTACTTTGTTCTAGCTGTTGACTGGCTGCAGCTGCTCTGAACCTGCTGTAGCCACCTCTGTGTGCTGTTCATGTGATTAGCCTGCTTAGTTTAAGTCTGTAGGACATCTGAATACACTTCTCTTTAATGTGGAAGTCCTTGTGGCCAGACGAGGCTGATAAATGTGGTTCGGGAGCAGAAACAAAGAACGAAGGGAGAAAAAAAAAGAAGTAAATGATTAAATTAGCATATCAGCACACGGCCTCCGACTCTTCCGGTGCATTTCCACTTTAATCTCTCCTGCGTCTTAGATTATCTGCCACCACTGACATACTGGAGTGATCTATTTTTTCTCACGGTGTTAATCAATGAATTTCCAGCGAACTTCTCCTTTGCCCTCTGGTGTTCGTATGACTCACAATCTCTTATCGAACCTACTTACAACAGGAAAACCACAACATCATTAACCCTTAAAACCCAGTGGGCTCCCTCCAGGTTGAACTGCTTTTGAAGCGTTTACTGCAGTGTGGTGTAAGACATAAAATAAAACCGCCCAGCTTGACCTGTCCAACAATTCTAGTTGTGTATCTGTGACAGTGTCGTGAAAATTAGCTATGATTACATTTAACTTTGACTTAAGTACAACCTGCGTCCATCTGTACATCATTTACTCCCGTTTAAATGATTTATGAGCTCGTTATGTTCTTGCTCCTGTCATTTTTGCTCACTGTGGACTCATTTTTAACAGCAGTGTGGAAACAGAACAACCATGACGAGAAGACAGAGAACTCAGAAATGTGTTTTGTGCAGTCTGACACAGTTACGATGTTGTAACTCAGAAGAAATAATGAAAGTTTCTTTAATTTATAAAACCAGGAATCAACATTTTTTCTAAATGCCCACAATATTGGCAAAATTGTACAAACTATACATACTTCATTACTTACATTTTTAACTTGTTTTCATACTTGTCTCCTCTCTGTTCGGTGTGAACACTGCCTGCAGTTCAGCCGAAAAGTCCCTACATTTTTGTCATGTGACTGTCGGTCGCAACTGAATCATTCATGGCTTCTCTGTTGGAGATAAAAATGGTTGTTTTTGTGCAGAATCTGGAGCTTTTTAAATATGCTTGTTACATATTTATATGCATATTACCAAATATACGTATTAATGTCATAAAGATCTTTACCTTTACTAATTTCTTCACCCATTTACACACGTTTGCTTCTCAGTTAAGTTACTCATGAGGTTTCTTTCTTGGTCTTAAGGCTAATATTTTTTTTTAAAAAAGTGAGAATTATCAAAACCAAATGATGACAGATGTGGATAACTTAGGCTGCGTTCAGACTGCAGGACTTAACGCTCAATTCTGATATTTTTGTGAAATCAGATTTTTTTTGCGAGCTCGTTCACATTTCTGATTAAATGCGACTTGTATGTGATCTGCTGTGTGAACTTCATACGACCCAAAAGTGTCCCACATGTGCAGAAGAGGACACGACGACGTCACACGCAGCGAGCACGCTCAGTGTTTGTGGAGTGTGTCTTGCGATTTTAAAGTTTTGATTTTTTAAAGATATTTTTTGGGGCTTTTCCGCCTTTAATGATAGTGACAGTGAAGATAGACAGAGAAACGTGGGGAGGAGAGTGACATACAGCAAATGAGCCGCTGGCTGGAATTGAACCGCGGCTGCTGTGTCGGGGATTAAAACCCCTATACATGGGTCGCCCGCCCTACCCGCCGAGCTATGTGGGCGCCCGATTGTAGACTTTTTTTTTAAGGTAGTTGTCCAACCGGAGCCGGCACATTTACATCGTAATCGCCATGGTTGTGCCTCCTCAGATGGTGGAAACAGAACTGTGACTGCTAACTAAACTGGCTCCGACAGGGTGGAAGTGGCCGGAACACCACGCCCCCCGCACCAAATATTCAGATATTCGTTATTAATTGGGCCTGAAGATTCAGAGACCACAAAGTGCTGTATGACCAGCCCTAGTTTGTTGTGTATCAATGACGTGTAGGTCGGATAAATGTGACCTGGCCGTTCAGACAGAAGTCGCATGGCAAAAGATCAGATACCTGTCGGATTTAGGACCACATACCCAAGTGGCCTGAGTCGCATTTAAAAAAAATGGGATCTGTGTTTTTCAGACTGTCATGAAAAGATCAGATAGAGGTCACATAAGGGCAAAAAAATCGTATTTGGGTCACTTTAGCCTGCTGTCTGAATGTAGCCTCAGTGTTGTTGTTCTGAAAACACAAATACATGTGGCTCGTCCTTAAAATAAGAGATTAAAGGTAAAAGTAGTGAAAATACCCTGAAAATAGCCTGATGCTCATATTGTCAAAGACAGCAGAGACCACAACATTGTTCAGTCCAGTCTGAGTGCATCACAAACATGAAACACTTCTGGTGGGATGAATGCAAAAACAACTATGATTATAACTAAAGGTGGTGAGAATGATTCATTATGTCCCATTTAATTTTCCAGTCTGAGTGGATTTACGACTTTCTACGTCGGATGAGCGCCAAAACAAATCGATCTATAGGTGATTTTCTGATGAAGAAAGCTGCTGTTCTACTCTGTTGTGTTTGTGCGTTGACCTCGGCCTGAACGGACACATCGCACCGTCTTTCACCGATAGTTGAATAGTTCGATTATCACAGTTCACAGCAGCCGTTTGTTCGTACGCAGGAGAACGGGATTAGATCAGAGCGGCCCAGTAAGCTCCTGTGGGGCAAACAGAGTGAAAGAGGCAACCGGACAGGAAACACACCTTCCACACCCACTCAGGCTGTACATGAAACTTCCACATGCAGGGAACGTTTCCATACTGGCAGCTTCACCGGTAACGTGATGCTAGAAGAGATGAAGACGGAGACAAGAGCTGATTTACATTCAGAGAGTGGATTGAGATTCGGTGCACAGCTGAGCTACAAAAATACATTTATGTAGTTTTCATGTTGCATCGATGGCTGGTGGTTTTGCAGATTTTAATGTATTGTAGAGCTGATCTGATGATGATTTAAGCATGCAGGGATTTTTCAGTTCACTTCTGTGGCTTTAGATTAATCTGAATTACACACACAAGATACCACCTATTTCTAGTTGAATCTAGTCATGCAGGTAGTTTGGGTCATAATTGTTTGGGGCTTGAGAAATCCGAGGGAGGGTTTTAGTACCTCTCGAAGCGTTAAACACCGTTTTGATGTCAAAATTGTGCAAAAATACATTTTATAACCTGTTCTCAGATAAAAAAAAACAAACTTTTTTGTGCCCTCTCTGACATGAAGCCACCAGACCTCTTAAATTGCAATTTTTTATTTCTCTTCTTATTACTTGACCAAACTGAGGAGGCACAATCAAATAAATCCCAATGAAAAACAACAATATTTCCACTGTATTTGTGTGATAAAACCCTTATTTACTTGTTACGGCAGCTCAGAAGTAGAGCGAGAAAGTGGTAAATACAGCAGATCAGAGAGCAGGCGGAGGTGTAGGTGGTTCATTAGGGCAGCGTGGTGTGGATTAGCCGCGATCGGACACACTCAGGGTGTGCACTTACGCAGGTTTAGCCTCTCGACTCAATCATTTACAGACACACTCTTTGCCAAGATGGCTCAGCGGCCTGTGATTGGATCTGTTTGGATCTCACCAGTGGAAGGTCACAAGTTTATGGGATTTCAGTCCTTCAGAGGTTGAGGATGAAAAGTTCACGGTCTGGAAATGACGGACGTCACGATGATGATGAGCTGTGGACACAAAGTCCGGCTTCATCTGGTCTGACTTAGTGTTTTTATTCTCTTCTCTGCTGCTGTTTGGTTCTAAAGAGGGTACCGCAGTGGTCCATTCTCTATTTTTGAAGAACAAACTTTATATCTTCAGCCTGTTTGTACAGTTGATCACGTGTTGTCGACTAACAGCTTCATTCTGATGTTTGTCTTCTAATCCGATTTACACGTCGAGACAGGCGATTTTTCCGACTCACACGCTCAAACTCAACGACTAATTTCTTGTTTTGAGGATCTTAAGTCTAGCTCTTCATTTTAAAAAACATCAGAACTAGAATCGCAGCAAAAAAGTAATACGGAAGAAACTCACAAAGCAGCAGAAATCAAACTAGCAATCAAATCAAAACTGTAATAAAACTGACTTTCCTTGTTTTATGGCGCTCCTTGAATACAAAACACATTAGTGAGATATGAGTAACAACCCTCCTGATATCTGACTATATATACACTGCATATTAAAGCAATAGAAACCATAACAGTAATTACATTTTTACCCTGATGTTTATCCTCCTAGTTGTGCTCATTTAACCACCTCACAATATTTACTGTGAGGCATTAAAAGGCCTTTTTATTGTTAGTTTGCAGACACAGATTTGTGCTGGTGTGTTGTTGTGGTTAAACACAGTACAGTAGGAATAAAGTATATTTACTGGTGTGATGTTGAAAATCCATAAACTCCGGTTTGTGCAGACTGCTGTTGGTCTGTGGGGGTTAAAGGAGGTTTGTGAATCAGTGAAGAACTTCATAACTGAGACATAGGTCGGTGCGACTATCCAGGACTCACAGCTCCCATACGTTGACCCTCTCTGTGTTCCAGTGAAGGTGTCCTGACTGCTGTTTTCATGTTAATTAACAACGCAGCAGTTTTCCTTGCCGGTGCTATCTAGATATTTATGATTCATTGTCTTTGAAGTTTTATTTCTTAATGATGTCAATCGGGTTGTAAGAACGACTCTTTATAACTAATCGAACTGTATCAGTGGGAACAGAAACCTGATACGAACTGTGACAGATGTCAACGAACTCTGGAGTCACTGGGTCATATTCCTGCTCTTACCGAACTCTTACCAAATTAATTTAGAAGTAATTCCTTTTGCAAATGACCAAAAATGCAGATTTGTTTTTAATTCTAACCTTACTTTTTGTCTGATTTGTTTTCTTCTTGTTTTAACTAGTATTTGTCCCAGTCACATAATGTCTACTTCATATCATTTTTGTAGGTGTAACTAAAAAACGTGCTGAAACATTTTGAGAAACTGTGTACGGTGTAAACAACACCAATAAGAAGACTCAGGACAGTCCATAAAAACACAGTGTCAGGCTGCTGCAGAGAATCTTTTACCTCAGTGGCTCATGGTTTTATGTTTACTTCATGCAGATCAGTTCAGAGCAGCACATTTTGTCATGATAGCATTCCTGTGCTTCCGTCTTTTCTGTCCAATTCTTATTCCCAACACAAAAATTATAAACCTCAATCATGTGGCACGCAAACACTGTGCTTAGTAAGTTGTTTAATTAGTGACATCTTCCAACACAGTGATGGAATCGATCTGTGAAGGCTTTAGACAAACAAAATAACGGCTTCAGGCTCTGAACTGTTTATTCTTGGCAAATTTTTCCATTAGATGTGCAAAATAATGTGATTTTGCTGCACATGATTAATTCAAGTTGAAGATCTAAAGATTCTTCCTGTTTTTACAGTTTCTGGCTCTGATAAATGGTTTTAATTTTAATATATTTTTTTAATGATAACATGCCTTTAACGATTAATTGTGATCTGTGGGGTATTACAGTTCAGGAGGGTGATACCCGCTCTTTGTTGTGATTAACTGGATCCATTTTTAAACTGTTTACAGCTGCAGACAGGACGGTGTTAATACAAAAGCTGCTGCGACACTTTTAAAGCTGTTTCTCTCAAAGAAGGTGAAGACTTGTGGCAGATAAAAAGAGGCAAACAGTTCATCAAAGACACAACTACAGGACTTTAATATCCTTTAGAGATAAAATGTTGAACATGTGGCGCTCAGCAGGCATCAGGAAGAAATACGGACCTCGTGTTACTGCTCGTCTCCTCTTCAGATACTATGGGAGCCTCCTGGTTTGGTATTTAACCTGAATGGGATTGTCTCCTTTGATATAGGTTGTTTAATTCAGAGTGCTCAGCGTCGGACAGCTTGCTGGTGTGAACGTAACATTTAACGCCTCCTCCTGTTCGTCTTCTTTTGTGCTTTCAGCTGAGGAACAAGTTCATGAAGAAGTTGCCGAGAGACGCCGAGGCCTCCAACGTGCTGGTGGGGGAGGTGGACTTCCTGGACGCTCCCTTTGTGGCGTTCGTTCGTCTGCAGCAAGCTGTGATGCTCGGAGCCCTGACGGAGGTTCCCGTTCCCACAAGGTGGCTGAAATCACGCCGGAACTCCAGGAAATCAGAAATAGGAACGAAAGTTTCACGCAGAAAGATGCATCGGGCCATGATTTCCCTTGTAGAAGTTGTAACTGGATGATATGAGGCGTTTTTCTTGTGTTCACCTCATGTTACAGTTCAACACATCACAGCAATTTAAACACTGAAACGTTCAAATAGTAAAACCTGAAATGTGAAGTTTCTTGCAGCACTAATGTAGAAGCCGAGTTAGTCAAAGTGGTTTTCTTCTTAACAGCTTTTATTTTACACCTCTAAGTTGATTAGTGGATTTTCACCATTTGTGAGCTTTAAAGTTTTATTGCTATATAATCTCGATTAGGGAACACTTGTGAGGTAATTAAATGTTGTCAAAACAGAATAAAACATCTGTAAACAACACAGCAGCTTCCTTATCGGGGTGAAACACTTTGTACTGATGTTCAGGAGGAAGCTGTAAAACCTTCATTTAGTTTTAGACACCTGGACAGATGTTGCCATGAAAAAGGTGCCAGTAATAACACAATAACACATGTTCTGCTGAAAACGTTTACTATGGGGATTTTATAATGTGCTTATTTTCATTTTGCAGATTTTTATTCATCCTGCTTGGACCCAAAGGCAAAGCCAAATCGTACCACGAGATTGGAAGAGCGATCGCCACGCTGATGTCGGATGAAGTGAGTCAAAAAGCATCTGTGTTTTTTTAAAATACTGACAGTGACGCTCAGGAACACATCAAGATTGGATTATTCATGTAACGTGACAGATAGTTTTCTCTCACATCCTCATATTTTGAGGGTAATGCCTCATTTAACTTGCACCTTATAAGAGTAGAAAGTATAAGAAGAAGATCAGCTCTATGCTAATTATCATGGTTCTGCATTAAAATAGATTTTGCCGTCACTTTGGTAATTTTCTCCTCCACATGTTTGCTGACGATTTCTTAAATGGAAGTTTGAGCTTCTTTCCTATCTGGATTGGATTAAATAAGATGAATTGTTTATTTCGTAATATCATTCTGCAACTTCTGAATCAGACATTTATTTAACAGTGCAGAGATGAGTCAAAGCTGTAATAAGTAATTAGAAAAGCTTTTCTTTCTACTACGGGGAAGAAATAGATATTTTTTTGGACTGATTGCATTAAATCCAAAAAAATAACCTTTAGATGGAAGCAGGAGTTCAATAATGAAAATCAAAAGTTAGAATTTACTTACATCTGTAGGCTGTTAGACTCTCTGGAACACAGAACAGTAGGACGTTATTTGCGTTGTTCATTAATCTGCCAGTTTTCTTGATTAATCGATAAGTTGTTTGGCCTTTAAAATGCAAGAAAATGGTTAAAAATGTAATTTTCCCAAAGCCCAAGATGACGAATGTCTTTTTTTTTTTTGTATAAAACCAAAAGTCATTCAGTTTACTGTCATAGAGGAAGAAGGAAACCTGAAAATATTGGCATTTAAGAAGAATTTAGACTTTTTTTCTTAAACATTTACTGACACCAGTTAATCAATTATCAACACAGTTAAAGATTAATTTAATAGCTGACAACTAATTGATTAAACCTCTAAGTGACTTGATTTTATTGCGTCTTTGGGCTGATTAGCTCCATGTGTAGGAGTCTCTTCTTACCTTATTAATAAATCCTCAGATGTGACGTTGCAGTTTGCTGCTCGGTGACTCTTCATGCTTGGACAGTCGTCTTTCACACTCCAATGCTTCGTCCTTCTCTGTCCGTGTTCAGGTCTTCCATGACATTGCGTACAAGGCCAAGGACAGACAGGACCTGCTGGCCGGTATCGACGAGTTTCTGGATGAGGTGATCGTGCTTCCTCCTGGGGAGTGGGACCCGGCCATCAGGATAGAGCCTCCGAAGTCACTCCCCTCCTCTGACAAAAGGTCCACAAACGAGTTTCTAGTTTGTAAAAAGAAAACTTTATCCGAGACACATAAGTGCAAGTAGGAAGCAAGTAGCGGCTGTCAAGTATTTTATTAAGCCCAATAAAGGGTTATAAATTAATAATGAGTAACAATAAAACAAATGTAACCCCTTGAGTGGTTTCCTTGCTGTGATCTTATGTGAAAACACACTGTTTCAACAAGGACCTCAGGCTGTACATTAGTCTGCTTGTCACTTATTAAACCCATTTCCATAAACATAGAGAACAAACACGTGATCTCACCTGAAGACTTAGAGGTTCCAGCTGAAATGAACTGATTTAAATCTGGCACCTAAAATGTTTATCCATCTGTGTTAGCAAACAGGATTCAGCAACCTGCCTGACATTTAATATGCACATGTATAACTGCTGCAAAAGCACATTTACCAAGTTTGTGGTTGAAAACCGAGAAAATGAGCTCAAGGCTGTCCTTATTAAACATGTAAGAAGCTGCAGATCGGTGCCTGCTCTGAATGCTGTGTGTGCAGCAGCTACATCATGTTAAAGAAGCTGCAGAATCACTCGGGTGCATCCAGGTGAACAACGCAGCGCTGAATTATGAAGGAGCAGCTGTAGGTTTCACATGAAGCTGCAGTGATTCAGCAGTTTATGTGCTCAGTCCTGTTGAACAGCATCTTCAGGAGATGTTTCAGCGGTTTTAATTAAATTACCAGGCTCACTAACTTTTTCCAAGGGATCAAATGTTAATAAAAGTAAAGTTTCTGCTGCAAAGGCTGAACAAAACTGTATTTGTGTGCGTTTTAGGAAAAACATGTATGCAGGAGGAGACTCTCAGATGAACGGAGACATGCCTCATGATGGAGGTCACGGAGGAGGAGGAGGAGGACACGCTATCGGAGAAGAGCTGCAGAAGACTGGAAGGTATGAAACTGTGAAATAACACATGTTGTATGATATTTGCATTCATTTGCCTGTTGACCTACAACTTGACAGTGAGCATTTAGGACTGAAAAAGACTGAAAAGTCTGCAGCAAACCTGTAGTGGAAACTACAGGAACATAAAGAAACTACACAGCACTCAAACAGCTAAATGTGAGTTGTAGAATATGGTGCAGTGAACCAAAGTGCAGCACAACTTACAAAATAAGAGTTTGACTGATAAAGAGAAAAATGTAAAAAAAAAAAAAAGGAAAAGAAAGAAAGAAAAGAGAGAAAATAGACTTAAAGCTTTTGAAAGGATAGCCCCTTAAGATAAGATGAGTCCATATTTATCCCACAGCAGATAACTTACAGCAGAAACAGGGAGAACACAAATGTGTAGAAACAACACTAGAAACTAAAAATAAACAAGAAACATACACAAGTACGGTTATTATTGCACAAATTCTTTCATTTGTGGGAATTCAAACATTGAACAGATTCCTCGCAGCTAATTTCCAAGTGGCTCCTAAAAACAGAAATACAGAAGATATACAACATACACAACAAATACACAACAACAAACAACTCTCTCTCTCCCACACCGAGACTTCAGCTGTAAGAAAAGAAAAATTAATTACTAAGAACCAGATAATAATTATAAAAACTATAGGTTAAGTTTTTAAAAGTTCTAAAGTTCTGATTATTTATGGCACAACCAAACTGAATATTGAAGGTATTAAAAAAAAAAGCATAAAGAGGACAAAAAAAAAAAAAGATGACCTGAAGAAAACGGTGTTACGAACCAAGGAAGATTGTTTTTATTCATCTGGAGGAGCTTCGAGCTGCGTCCAGCCTCTTTGAAAACTGTAGAGACAAAGACAAAGGGACATTAGTTTGAGCGGACGTGAAGATCTGCATGAAACCAGAATTGTCAACACAGTTAAAAATGAGCTCAATCCAGTGACTCTGTGATGTTCTGTCCCAATAAAGGAGCCTCGCAGCAGTTCACAGGTCAACATACTAACAGCAACATGTGCTCAGAAACGTTGCTTTGCCGTGTTTAGTATTCTGTGTTGCAGAAGATAACACATCTTTTGTCTGTGTCCAGGTTTTGTGGGGGTCTCATACTTGACATCAAAAGAAAAGCGCCTTTCTTCTGCAGTGACTTCACCGACGCATTTCACATTCAGGCGTTGTCGGCCATCTTGTTTATTTACCTGGGAACTGTGACCAACGCCATCACCTTCGGGGGTCTGCTGGGAGACGCAACAGAGAACATGCAGGTCAGACTGAGATGTGAGCTTGTTATTGTTGACATTTGTGTTCTGGATCATCCCCTGACTCCTCCCTCGCTGTGTTCAGGGTGTGTTGGAGAGTTTTCTTGGCACGGCCATCGCCGGCGGTGTTTTCTGTCTGTTGGCCGGTCAACCGCTCACCATCCTCAGCAGCACCGGTCCTGTTCTGGTGTTTGAGCGGCTGCTGTTCAACTTCAGCAAGTATGTTGTGTGTTTTATCAGTTTAGCAGAGGCCCAGTTACTGATCACAGAAGAGTCAGTGTTTCAAAACAGAAAAATGACCAAACTGTGACATTTAGTAACACGCTTGTTCCAGAAATCAGACTTACAGTAGATTACCAGCGTCAGAACAGTTTGAGGAGAAAGGTCATGTTGTTTATTCTAAAGATCCACATTTTTCTATTGTTTACATGTTTTTCAGATGCTGGCAAAGACACCATGAGTAAAATAAGCAGTCATGGTTCAGCATTTAACTGTAAAACTATAGTTCAGCATCTGACAGTCATAATAACATGGAAGTCAGGAAGAGATTATTTTCATGGAAAAAAAATCTAAATATGCAACTTTGATAGCTTGAATCAATGACCAGAGAGGAACTTTAAGACATTTTGATATGGTTAAAGCAGAAATAATTTGAGATGATGAAGTTTTGCAGTTTAAAGCTTTGATGTTCAATAATAAAGTCATAACTCCTCAAGTACAAGTCACAAAATTAAAAAAAAATAGTCATACACAGGAAATAGTTGTGAATTTTGTGCATCTAATGACAGATTTGGTATTGAATGATGTAAAATTTCTTTTATATTATGACTTTTATCCCCTCTAAAAACATCACCATGACAATGACAACTCTTTTTGTTGAAACATGACTTTGTTCTCTGTCTCTGTATAAAACATTGCTACCTCTCAATACCTGCTGCTGTTGCTTCCGTTCAGAGATAACAACTTCGACTACCTGGAGTTCCGCCTGTGGATCGGGCTCTGGTCAGCGTTCCTCTGCCTGGTGCTCGTGGCCACTGACGCCAGCTTTCTGGTCCAGTACTTCACCCGGTTCACCGAGGAGGGCTTCTCCTGCCTCATCAGCTTCATCTTCATCTACGATGCCTTCAAGAAGATGCTCAAACTGGCTCACCACTATCCCATCAATGCTGACTTCAGGATGGAGGACGTCACGCAGTACGACTGCCTCTGTATGGCTCCTGCTATCATAGGTGAGGTGTTGCTTAGTGCTGAGGCTGAGGACACGTTTTCTACTGATTGCTGCTGGTTTGAGATCCTATTTATGCACCATAAACGATGTTTTCCTTGAATTGCACAATGCAAGAAGGGGACATCAGTTAGAGAGAAAGTTAGTTTAATTTATTGATGAAGTTGCAAGTAAAAGTTGGCTTTTTTAAGGACTAAAATATAGATATAATATACAGCATATACTTCTCATCATGTTTGTTTTGACTGACAAGACTGTGTGGCTGCAGTCACTTTGCTCAAATTACTGTTTGGTACTACAGAAGTCTTACAGCTTTGTGGGCTTCTGAGTCTTAGTGCGTCTTTCTCTGTGGTGACTGTGGATCAGCTGGTGGGTGTCCACTAATGACAGGGTTCGACCTCCACGTAGTGAAGTGGTGAATGAGAAGTTCTTTGTAGGTGCTACATAAACACAGACTGTTTAGCATCTTCCATTAGGGGGTCAGCAATGAAAGGTCTTTTTAGTTTTGACTTTACAAAAAAAAAATCTACAATTGAAAAATAAAAAATACAGTTGATCAGACTTCTCTACAATACAAGGTGCTTCTTTAATTTATTTTTTTACCTTTCACACAGAGATGTAATTCACTACGGTCAGTCCACGTACAGTAGAGACACTGTAGACGAGAACAGCAGAAACAACAGATGATTAATTTAGACGAGTGAGCAGCTGACACGTCATCAACACCGACAATAAGTCAGAGAAACTCCCAGCTGGTATCGAAGTCAAGCTGCTGGTTTAGATCTGTGGAGGAAAAAGGTTGTTAGTCAGTTTATCTTTTGGCTTAGATGATTACTTTTGATAGAGTTTGCCTTTACCATCTGTACATATGTTGTGATAATAACGTGCTGGATAGATGCTAAGTAAACATGTCAACCTGCTAGTACTAAACTCAACGGTGTCCTTTGTACAGTAAAGCTCTGACTAATGAAAGTTCAGCCAAGTTTATTAACAAAGAACTGATGACATGAAATAACCAGTGGATAGAAGGATAAAGCCTTTAAACAAAAATAGATAGATTCCAATAGTGTGTCATGGTTTTAGTAGGAATGATCCATTTTTCAGTCCTTCTCCACTACAAAAAAAAAAAAAGTTAAAAATGCTGATGGGATTTTTGTTGCAGTTCGTCCCAAACAAGCACATTTCTTATCTCTGCAGCACCACAATGCTTCATTTATTATGTGGTGACACATTCTACCTTTTATCAAAAAACTGCAGCTCGAGACTTTAGATATTGCTCTCGGCTGTATAGCAGTTCTTTTTTGTAATATTTTGATTAATTATTCAGCCCTGAATATAAATGATAAATTAAAATGGTGCACTGTGCATTGTTAAAAAAAGTTGTGCTGACAGGATTTTGTGTTTTGTTGTGTTTTTGCAGAGAACAGCACAGAGATCATCGGTGATCCTTTAGAAGGAACCTCAGTCTGGTACTGGAACAACACCGATCTGGTAAGCGGTTCCTGTTTTCACTGATGCTCTCATAGAAAAAACCCAAATATAAATTATTCCTTTGATACGTCTTTGTGTTGTAGCGTACATGTATGTTCCACCTCTTCACTGAAAGCATTGCTTAGACTGAAGGACTTACGTTCCTGGAATTATTTGAAATTCTTTAAAAAAAAACTTCTTTGAACTGTGTTACAAATCTCATGTTAACCACAAGTGGAAAGACAAAGAGTGAAAAAGAAGAGAACCGTGTTTGTCAGCTGAACATAGAAGGAAAAGTGAAGAGTCTGATCAGCAGATAGTTTCCAGTCTGACAGTGTTTACTCCTGCAGCAGCCAGTGTAGTTAAAGCATTGTCACGGTACTTCTGAGAGCTCTCTGTTGTATCTGTGTCTGACACTCGTTTGCAAGAATAAGTGTTTCTTTATCGGCACGACGCTCTTTGTTTCTGGTGTGCAGCCGATGAACGCCACGTGGTCGTCCCTCACAAGGACCGAGTGCTTGAAGTACAAAGGCGAGCTGGTGGGGAAGGCCTGCGAGTTCGTCCCAGACATCACCCTCATGTCCTTCATCCTGTTCTTCGGCACCTACACCTGCTCCATGTGTCTGAAGAAGTTCAAGACGAGCCCTTTCTTCCCCACCACCGTGAGTCACCGAGTGTACAGAGACTCCAGCGTGTTCGGAGAATAAACAAGGTTTCCAGCAGCAGATTACACAGAAAGTCTTTGTGTTTCTTTACACCAGGTGAGGAAGCTGATCAGTGACTTTGCCATCATCCTGGCCATCCTCATCTTCTGTGGGGTCGATATGCTCGTAGGAGTCGACACTCCGAAACTCATTGTGCCAAGTGAATTCAAGGTGAGAATCCTCCTGCCCCCGAACAAACAAATAGTGCCTTTAACCTCAAAACCCCACAGTAGGTGTGAAAAGTGTTTGATCTTTAAAGACAGACCATCAAAATGAGCGCAAGAACCATAAAAACAGGAGGAGTTTGTGGATTTCCTATTTTTCAGATGTTCAGAAAAATTAATTAATCTAAGCTGGAAATCATAATGTATCATCAGAACCATTTTATTCTACACGTCTCACTGAGAAATCAGATAATAAAATTCAGACTATTTGGTTGAACTGCGGGCTGTTTACACAAAGCAGATAAAGACGAGTACGGACACATATTAGAACTGTAAGAAGTAAAATATGTGTAGCATGGACAGTCATATTTTTAAGTATATTCACGCCTGTGGGCACCTGGAAAGTGTTGAGTGTGTTAATCCCAGGTTTTTTTTCTTCAATTTTTCTAAAACAAATAATCAAAGAAATTCAATTTTCACTTAATCTTTCTTTTTTATTTATGGCATATAGTGTATTTGTTATGTTGCAGAAAGACATTTCTGAGTCCTCTCTCCTTCTAGTCATGGCTGTACTGTTGTCATAGAGGTGCAGGACTTTATTTTGTAGTTAAAAATGAGCCACAGGGAAGAAAAATGTGACTGTTGCAAGAAACACCCAGAAACTGCTTGATGTTGACGGGGTTAGAATAGAATAGAATAAAGTAGAACTTTATTGATCCCTTTGGTGCAAACCTCAGGGAAATTGTTGATTGAAGGTTAAAGAGCTTTTTGTCATGTTAAGCTTCAAAAAACCAGATGAGACTATTCGTACAAAAACAAAACAAAACAAAGAAACACCTAAAACAATTGTTTACTGATGTTTTACATTTTTTAAACAAGTCACATAAAATGTGGCTGTTTTGAAAGACAGGAAAGGTCAGCGGTGTGTTTGGTGTCTGAGTTAATGGCAGTTAAGTGTAGAGTTGTCAGTTTGATCCTCTGCTCCTCCTCTCTGCATGTAGAGACGACCTCGAACAAAACACTGAACCTCTAAGTTTGTCTCACTTTGGACAGAAACATCCACCAAACAAATGTCAAGTAAATCTCTCTGTGTTTGAATTGAATTATCAGCATAAATGTAGAACTATTTATAATTCATTAATCCATGAAAATGAGATGAGTGACCTTTAATTGTTTATCAGGAACAAACGCCACATTTCTGACGTCCTACAACAGTTTGAGTCTGTGTGATGAGAGCAGCTCTGTGTACTTGACTCACGTGTTAAAGCTTCCGTCTTCCTCCCTCACAGCCAACAAGTCCGAACCGGGGTTGGTTTGTGCCTCCATTTGGAGGAAACCCCTGGTGGGTTTATCTGGCGTCGGCTCTTCCCGCCCTGCTGGTCACCATTCTGGTGTTTATGGACCAACAGATCACTGCTGTCATCGTCAACAGGAAGGAGCACAAGCTAAAGGTGAACAATAAAAAATGTAAATTTCTTGAAGTTCGTGAGGGATGTTTTCAGCCTTCAGTTACCTGATTTATGTGACGTGAGGATTTTCATGCATTCGCCACAACAAATTGCAGTCCTGTACAGACGCTGGAGGCCTTCACACTGTAGTTAAAGATCATTCTTCTCATGGGAGTGAGAGATGTTTCATGAGAGTGACTGCACATGGTTCAATTCAAAAAGCAGCTCTTTGCCATGTTCAGAGTCGCTGCTGAAGCCGAGTACGTGTTCTTTGATTTCACCGAGATGACTCGTCCCTTCAAGGAAAGACGGTGAATCATTACAGAGAAGTTTGCAGTAGAAGAAGCAGCAACTTTTGCTCCTCTGCTGCTGCATTAGTGATCAAGCTATGTCCGAGGCGTCTGCAGGGTTTCAGGTCTGCGTGTATCTGCAGCTGTGCTCTGCATACAGTCCACCTCTGAACACATACATGACCTCTGACCTGGTGTTTGTTGTCTGTACCAGAAAGGGGCAGGTTACCATCTGGATCTGTTCTGGGTGGCTGTTCTGCTCATCGTTTGCTCCTTCATGGGTCTGCCGTGGTACGTCGCCGCCACCGTCATCTCCATCGCTCACATCGACAGTCTGAAGATGGAAACGGAGACCTCGGCTCCCGGAGAGCAGCCCAAGTTTCTGGGTGTGAGGTGAGAACAGTGTGCTGTCCAGTGCTCCGAGTGAACAACAGCAACTGAGCATGTTTTAGATGTTTTACATTTTTCATCCCCATCTGGATCCAAGTCTATACGCACATGGACAAACACTGAAACTGATTTATGGCAGCTTTAATTACTAGAGAAAACCAAAATCCTGCTCAGGAAAACAGAAGGATCCCACCAGAATAGTAAAGGATGGAGGACAACAGATTTATAGTAAGTTCACTTTACATCACTGCTGTAAACAAGATGCCATCAAGAAAGCACCAGAATTACTAAAAGTCTTGCTCCTGTCATATAGGTTTGTTGTACGATGGCAACCACTGCTCATGGAAAGCAGAACACGCTTTGGGAATAATTCAGATCTTTCATATAATAAACTAATTGAAATAGTGGAAATGCATATTTTAACGGTGGACACTTTGTTGGAAGAAATGTTTGTGGAGTACAATCAAGTATTGGCTGTGAATGAATCAGTTACAGAATATTGAGTTTTGCTTTTACAAAACACAGTTTAGAAGTTGAGAGTCAGGTATGAACTGCTCTACAAACAATCAGTTGGTCTTTGAACCGCTGTCTTGGCTTTTCATCAGATTTCTGTCAAATCTGTTCTTTACTTTTGAGAGTTAGTATGTGCTGTCACACAAACACACAACCTGAAAAACAACAACAACAATATAAAATAACTGTAGTTGGCGGTGAACTGAAGCCGATTTGCGTCTGAGTTAACTAATAAGCTGATTTGGTTTGTGTGAAAAGCCAAACTTCAAAAACATTTATACAGTAGATAACTGCTGGATTGTGCTTCTGGCAGGTCAAATACTGTTTGTTACCGTCTCATGTTTAAAAGCACGACTTCCCTTCAGAGGCCAGTGGGTTGTTTACAGATCGTCCATCAATGGAAGGAAATATGACATTATTCTTCTCTTTTAACTGAATGTTATTAATCAGTGAATCAACTATGTAAGTTTGATGATTGTCGATAATGAAACCTTCTGTTTTTGTACATTTGACTAGTTTTGTGTTCATCAATGGAAGGCAAAAACACTCTTTTCTGTTTTTAGTTTGTTTTCTTGTCTGTCTGATGTCCTCGCTGCCTCCTGATGCGTCAGCTGTAAGCTGAGCTAACAAACTCAGACACTGAAACATCCACAGCAACTCTGAACTTCCTACAAACAATGGTGGTGTTTTTGTCAAACTAAAATGAGAATCAGAAAATGACTGGAAGTGTTCACATAAACAGCAGCATTAGTCTGGCTGATTCTGCTGGGACTTTGTTATTGTAAAAACTCTGGGTAAGAAGCATGAAATGATACCAGATGAAGTTTTGGCGTCATGACAATTGATATTTTTCTCTCTTTTATTTCAGAGAGCAGAGGGTCACTGGTGTGTTTGTGTTCATCCTGACAGGACTGTCTGTATTTATGTCTCCCATTTTAAAGGTAATTAATCAAAGACTGTCCTCTGTTTTTATCTGATGTTTGTTACTCACAGTCTCAAGTTTAATGATTTCAACTTCCCAAGATAACTGCTGATTATGACAGAAACAGAAACATTTAAACGTTGATCATTCGGGTGATAGAGATGACTGTTAGTGATAATGTCCTGCTATCGGCAAACTGTAAAGTTGCTTTAAGCTGAGTTTAATATATTTATGATTCTGAATTACTTCTGAAACTTGCATCAAAACGCATCATCACTGACAAACTAAACGTTGTGCAGATGCCATTCAAAGACGGTTTAAACGACCTGTATAGATTTCACACTTTAAATTCAGAACAAGTTGATTCGAGTTGTGCACATTAACCTGAAATGTTCGGCTTGTTTTGTGAAAGCTGCATTTTTTTTTACAGAACAAAGCAGAACCTTTAAATCTAACCCATCTGTTGAAGGCCTGTTCATATTGACGTTTGTTTTTTCATCTGTTCTGCTCTAGTTCATCCCCATGCCTGTGCTGTACGGCGTCTTCCTGTACATGGGAGTTGCCTCTCTCAATGGAGTGCAGGTAGCCTAACTTTACATTTCTTATTCTCATCATAAAATAAAATCAATAGTTCACAGAGAAGGAAGTTAATCTAATAAAACACTGTTAATATCCTCCAATTTGAAGCTGATCTCCAAAAATTGTTTCTTATCAGAGACAACTTCAGCTAATTCCTGTTATTTTGATAAATCAAATCCTGCAGAGCTCCTGGTTACATGTACCTGTACCTCTGTGTGTCTGTCTGTAGTTTATGGATCGTCTCAAGCTGCTCCTGATGCCAGCGAAGCATCAGCCGGACCTGGTTTACCTACGACACGTTCCCCTCAGGAAGGTCCACCTCTTCACCTTCATCCAGGTGCTCTGCTTGGCTCTGCTCTGGATCCTCAAGTCCACTGTGGCCGCCATCATTTTCCCCGTCATGGTAAGAAACGTTTATACGGAGATTCAGCCAACATTAAAGTCTGAAAGACAGACGTTAGCAGCATTCAGTATTTAAGAACCTACAGCTGTAGTTATTCCTTCTGTTGGTTATTCTAGTCAATGAATAATTTATCATTTAGTAAAATCCAAGACTAATGTGAGATATCTCTCATATGTCAACAATCTGAAGTTTTATCTTGCACATTACATGAATGAAAGGCTTTGCATGTAGTGGAAACAGCCTCATCTGAAGTAGTTTGCTCAGTTGTCATACAGATTTATGAATCCACTGTTATCATGTGAACTTCTGCTGTGGTGACACTAAATGCGTAACATGTCTGAAGTGTTCGCTGTGCAGCTGCTGCAGCACTGAGCTTCCACTGTAATCAATGAAACTGACGACATCAGACAAGTGTGTCCGCACTGCAGAAGTAAAACTAGACCGGTGTTGTATTTAGATATTTTACATGCGGTAGTTACGATCCTTGTACAACGAAATAGATCAAAAAAATTTTTTGTCAGTATCAGCTGCTGGTTGCTTAGTAACTTTATCCCTTACAGAGTCAACTGTAGTCTGTACATGGTAACTTTTATTATACTAACTTGGTGAAAAACGTAAAGTTTCAGCCTAAAATGAAAACTCAGAGTCTTGTTTTGCCAGAGCCCTCCATCACATGTGTGCTGGAGGTGGAACCACTAAAAATACACACCAACCACGTCGCAATCAGTCCAAATACATTTTGCATTTAGTATAGCCATGACGTCTGTGTGGAATTTTGGTTGTCATAACAGCTTTCATCCATTTTCATGAAAGCTCCCTAAAGTTCTGTTAGTGGATCATTTTTTTGTTTGTTTTTTTTATCAACCTGATATTTTTCAGGTCAAAACTGAACATTACGGTTCATCAGCAGTAAAGCCGATGAGCAGCATCCATTTTTTTTTTTCAGTTTTCTGTCTGTCAACAAAACAAGATTCAACTGGTCCCGTTGGACGATGAGTGTCCAAATGGCATCAGAAGAGTGATAAAAGCAGCTTCAGTGGGCTCGACGTGATCACACTGAGTTACAGCTACACTGAACCACTTTAATATGTAAATGAAGTTTACCGTTTGAACTGAGAGGATTGTTTATCTGAGCGATGGAACAGTCACGCTGTTTCACATCAAAACAGTTCAGGGTCACTAATGCAGCACTAAAGACTTTATTAGATGATTTATTGAACTTTATGTAGTAATTTGTGATTTTAGCATTGATGCGGTGAGACCAGCTTCATTTAACATTCGTAATATTTTAGTTACCCAAAAATGTTAAAAGTACAAAGTGTGTTCGTAGAGTTTTCAGTTTTTCCTGAACCAAAATGCACATCATGAAGGGTTTAGAACAAACAGTAATCTGTTTATGACCTCCACTTTTACATTTTACTCAAACATGTCATATTTTTTAAATGTTAAGCTATAATTTCCCAGTCTAATGCTCTTGTTCTGCTGCTTTCAGATCCTCGCTCTGGTCGCTGTGAGGAAAGCGATGGATTACATGTTCTCCCAGCACGACCTCAGCTTCCTGGATGATGTCATTCCAGAGAAGGACAAGAAGAAGAAGGAGGACGAGAAGAAGAAAAAGAAAAAGGGCAGCATCGACAGCGACGCTGAAGACGTGAGTTGTTTGAGTTTTTAAGTTTCAGCCTCACTGAGAAACACTTGAATGCATCACAATCACACAAACAAGCAAAATGCCTTACTTTGCACCAGTTTCTTTGTTTTAGCTCATTCCTAAGTATGCCAACCTCCAGCACTGCTCTCACCTCCCAGGTTTCCTTCTTCTGTTCCAACAAAGGGTTTATCTGCTGGTTAACCAAAACACAAGTTTACACATCGGGTTCCTTAATGCCGCTTGAGTCGTCTTTTTGTTGTTTGCAGCTAATAGTTTGTCCATTTAGTGAAGCTGAGCAGAGGAGGTCTGACAGTACAGCATGTGGTTCAAGGATAATGCACAATTCAGTTTGGATTTTTAAGACAGCAAGCACTTGGGGCTTTTTTTCAGTTTCTTGTGCTTGTTCAAGTGTGAGAATGTTGTTGTACGAGCACGTTTTTAGGTTCACAGATGGATTCATACGATCTTTAGCTTGAATTTCAAGTGGCTGAGGCCTGAAGCTGGAAGCAGGTGCTTGTGGAAGGAGTTCTGCCACATTTTACCTGCCTTTGAGAAATGTCTTTGACCTGAGACTAAAACTCTGGAGATCCTACAGAAACCTTTGGGACAAGATGTTCAGATTTATTCACTCATGCTTGATTTTCTTGTAGCTAAAAACTAGACGTGTCTGGAAAAAACTGTGGGAAGATAAAAAAAAAAAGCTCCATTCAGGGAGGTGGTGTGAGGAGAGCAGTGGACGCAGAGGGAGACTTACATATAGTTTAATGGGGAGTGAGCAAGACAAACAGGTGTGGTGATGTTAAATATCTTCACCACAAAGCTGCTGTTTTATTTCATTCAGTCGTTCTGTTTGTGCATCATCACATCAACATCACAGCAGTTTGGGATGTGGAATGTCCGGTTGAAAAACATGTCCAAAGGGAGTTTCAGTTTGATAATCTGCACAAAGTTAATCCAACATGTGACCCTGGATCCACGGTGGGTCTGCTCCAGAATTTGTTCTTTGGATTTGTTTGGTATTTGGTCTAATTTTGTTGAGAGGCGTTCCACTGTCTGGCCCATAGACTGTATAAAAGATGGACGTAGCAACCGGCCCCGAAAAATGAAGCCAACCCGGAAGTGTCAAAAACCTGCAATATCACTACATCCGCTACCTGCTGGCTCCAAAAAGTCCTGGCTCCCATAGAAATGAATTGGAAAAGAAGTGATCACAGATCATGAAATACCGCATTCCTACAGCTCAGGATTTAAAAAAAAAATAGTTTTCATGGTCAAGTCCAGAGATCAAGTGGCCAATCTGAAAATAAATCAATACTGAATGTTTAAAAAATCATCAACATTTTGTGGGGCAAGGGGCGTGGCTGACTTGATTGACAGTCGGCAGCGACCATACAGACGAAGCGAGCAGAAGGCGGTAAATGAGGGCGGGCAGAGAGGGCCCGCCTCTCAATCCATCTGACCAATCGCTGCTCCTATGGCTCCGCCCCCCTCCGACGATTTTTGCGTCACTGGCTCCAAAAATCCAAGATGTCAACCAGGAAGTAGCAAAACCCTGGCTTCATTTTCTCAGTGCAGAAACCAACGGGTGAAGTCACGGTAGCTACGTCCATCTTTTATACAGTCTATGGTCTGGCCACAGGTCTCAGGTGTGTCTGCCACTGTGTCTTGAGTAGATTGAAGCTGTTGCGCTTCCCGCTCTGATCATGTAGTGAATCTTTATCAGTGCAGATAATTACATGTTTTCCTCCACGTTGAGACTGTGGTGACACGTTCTGCTGGTTTCATTAGTGTCTGGTCTGTTTGGATCTATTGCATTTTCTGATCAGATCTAATTATCCTGGAACAGGGCTGCGTTTATGAAAATTCACTTACAGACAGTGTGCTTGTTAAAGATTCTCTTTCAGGTGGAGTTAGGAATTTTGGACCCATGCAGGGGTTTAACTAGAAGCCAGAAAGAACAGTAAACTATCAGAAATGGTTTAGAATATAATGTGCCTGTCACTATTAAAGCCAGCAACCAACTATTAAAGTTGTGGATTCCATAAAACTATACTTGTTGCAACAGAAACCTACATCTTTAGAAGAGGTGGTGTTCCTTTCTGGTTTTAAATTTGAAAAACAGATCACTGACAGTCCAGTGATTAATGCCCTTGTCCAGTTTTGGTGTGAAACTATACATGGTTCAATCAAAAAGTTGCAAGACTCTTCAGGTTGAGTGTCGCAGTGACACAGCATGTGTGAGCAGAAACTGTGACACAGTTCTATCAACAGCATGTCCTGCACATGTTGTTGTACCCACTGGCTTCAAATCCTCCATAGACGTGAAACTGAAGGAGAAAGCAAACGTCACATCCTGTGTCAATCAGCAGTGGGGATGATTCAACCTTCATGTGGAGGATCATCGCTGGTGACCAGAGGAGGGTCTGCAGGTACCATCAGGGGAACAAACGGCAAGTCGGGTTCAACAGCAGCAGCAGCAGCATGGCCATTGTTTTCTTCAACATTCAGATAACTGCACCATAAATTTGTTCCCCAGAGTCCACTGAAATGTCCTGAGCTGTCTGAGGAAAGACGTTTTGGCTTTACCATTTCACTTTGGATAAAAAAAAAAAAGTTACAGGAAGCCAAATATGGCAACTAGGGCAAGTGGAAAGCAACAACAACTCTTTGTGTAACCACTGTGCACCAGCACCACATGCCAGAGCACCACAGTTCACTGAAAGTTCTCCCTCAGACTCATCAGGACAATAAAGTGGATCCCTGCCTGGCTCTGGTGGACAACCATGTGGATAGTTAAACAGTGAGCATGCTGCTGGTGCTGCTGACCCATGTGGTTTTACAGACTGAAGGATCTTCTCTCGCTGGTAGCTGGAGAACCACCTCCAGTCACCAGTGATCGTCTGTCACATGAAGGTTGGATCATCTCAGCTGCTACAGTTTGAGATTCATGATGAAACTGAAAAACGTGGGTGACACAGCCCCACATGTTTATACTGTGGTAGAACACAGAATCTTGACAGTTAATGCTCACGCTGTGTAACATGAGTAACTGTGACACGCTTTTTCTTTTTTTTAATCACACCATGTGATCAGTTTGTACTCTTCAAAAAAAAAAAAAATAAATAAATGTAGGGAACAAATGCTGGCACAAGCTAAGTAACATGACTGCAGGTGTTGATGGTAAGTCACTGACGGCGTCCAGAGGTTCAGTCTCAGGATGTCTTTCTCTCTCCAACAGTCTGACTATCCTTACAATGAGAATGTTCCCAGCATTAAAATCCCCATGGACATGATGGAGCAGGAGCCCTTCTTAGGTGATAAGGCCTCTGACAGTGAGTAGCACCGGAGGAAAGACACTCGCTCCTCCTCCTCCTCTTCGACCTGCCTAACTCCTCCTCCTCCTTCGTTCGGTGTCTTTAATGACGTCTTCTCTTACTAAAGCGTTGTCGCCTTTTTTGCTTCTCACTCACTGCTTTGACTTTCACTGCATGATCTTATTCTTGATTATTGATCTTTATTCTTTCCTTTTCCTTCACCTCAGGTCTGTGTTGTGCTCCAAAACATGCATGAAATCTTCTCACTTTCCGTCTTGGACTATGATGTGTTCTAATAACTTTGATTTTGTCTCTGTTGCCTAACCCCTGTTATCCGTCAGTTTAAGCTTTACCTCTTTTTAAAATATTCACTGCTGATTTTGTGGCTGCTTTTCAAGGGTTGTTGAATTTGAACTTTTGTTGTTGAAGCTTGTTTAAAACACAGATTCTACATATTTTGTTCACTTTCATGTACAAGAGTCCCTGACTAGTTGAACACCGACATCAAATAATGAATTAATAGTTGTGTAGGGAAACATTAGAACAAATCAGAATGAGCTCTCTGGCTTCTGTACTGTCTTATTGCGACTTAAATATGATAGTAAAATGGTTTTAGAGCAACTACACAGTTTAAAGCACACCCAGTAAGAAGTATTTACAGCATCTATGGGTACAAGGTTGACTTGTAGAAGTCCTCCACCAGGAGTAGAGTAACGTCCAAAAGCAACAGAGGCAAAAAATACATTAGTTTTGCTGTAATGTGTCTAAAACATTTATTCTTAGCACAGAATGCTTTGTGTCTTTTGTTGTATTCAGTTTATCTTGTAGTAAATGATTTAGGTTTTCTGTGAATCTAACTTAAAACTTTCTTGAGGAAGCTTCATAGTTTGGGACACGTTTTATTAATCATCCATTACATTTACAAACTAATTATACTGAGTTTAAAAAGATTCTCTGATAAATACAGTCCATGAGTGTGCAGGGTGTCAGTCCATCCAGACACTTGTAGCTGCTGTCAAGTTCTGTTTGGACTGAAAACCTGCAGGAGTCTTAAACAGTTTAAAGCTTGTGTCTGAGAGAATCCAGCACTAACGGCCGTTTCTTTTTCCCCCTCAGGAGAGAAGTCCCAATCATTCCTTGAACGACACACATCGTGCTGAGCAGCTCCGTTACTATCAGGCCAACTGCTTGTCCAGGTGAGTTTGTTGATGTTCAGACTGAAACCTGCAGCTTCAGACTGTCGCAGTGCAGCTAGAAGTCCCAGACCAAATAAAACCGTACAGAGGGAACGGAACAAGACATAACCGGCACCGATTTCTTTTACATTTATTGATGACAGCGCCATCAAAGGTTGTAAAAGGTCACGAGGCGAGCTAACTAGCTAACGTATGATGCTTGTCTGAACTTTAAAGGTCAGCTAGGCTAATTAGCTTACCTGTGGCTAAAGTGTATTTTTCAATGGGGAGCAGAGCGCCGGGCGCCATATGTCAGTTCAGCTGTCTCCTCCCTCATGTCTTGTTCTGTCTGTGGACTTCAGTCTTATAAACCTTTGGCTTCACCAGTTGAGGTTTAAAGCCCAGTTCGACTGGCGTTATCTAGGACCTCCGGTAATCTGTGGAGATCACGGAGGTCATCTTGATTAACTTTCCACCACAAATGACCAAACAGGTTCTGAGATAACATCAGTCTAGTGTGAATCTTCACATCATGATTTGGAGTCATTTTAACATTTGTTTGAAAAGGTTTTCTGCTTCCTCCTGACCTTTGTTCTGCCACTTTCCTACTTGAGAACTATGGAAGCTCCATGGACAATTATAAATGAAAGCTTCAGCAGCTTTTTGGGTGCAACGTCTCATTTCATTTTATTCTCCAGGTCATTCTAGTCCTGTGTGAATAACCTGACCTTATTACCTTCAGTGCAGCGCTGCCCAGTGCCTTCACATTATGAATCTTTATACGACTTCTTGGACATTTACTTGGCAGATATCCTAGAAGAGATCCGCCCTTAGTTGCTCTTCATGAGGTGTCGTCCTTTTTTCCCGTTAAAGGGTTGACTTGTGGATAAATGTGCGCTACGCTGCTGGACTGATATGAGCTTTAGAGGAGACAATCAGTCTGAAAAAGGCAGAACAAGCCTTGTTTTTGGACAAATATTTAGAGCGGCGATTATGATGCTCAGGACGAGATTACGTTTCTCCATCATGCACACATCCTCTCACGACAACCAGGATGCATCGGTCGTGTGCACAGGGTCACGTTTTCTTCCTGTGTTACCCCATCTGTTCTATGATTGTCGTAACAGCGCCGACCAAAGAGGATTAGTGTTTGGGACAATGTGTGAAAAGCAGCTGTGATCGCAGGATTATGTTTTTTCTAATTGTCTCTCAGCTGTAGAGATCAGACTGGTTTTTGGGCTGAAAACATCTTTCTCTGACTGTACTGAAGCCTAAATTCATCACCTCACTGTTTCTTCAACCGTTGCCAAACCCAGATGTAATTGAATTGTCTTTGAGTTTTATTTGGCTGCTTCAAAAAAATCTGACTTTGTCCCCATTTTTGAACAGTTTGACCTCATGTTACTGTAAAAACTTTGAGCGGTTCAGACAAGTGTCCGTGAGAGTCAGGAACACCGGGCTGGACATAAATCATAGTAATGACATTACGCTGCCCCCCTGTAAAACTAATCTCGTCCCAGTAAGACTGAAGCCAAATTGCTTTGAGCTCAAATGACCTCAGGAGTCATCAGGACAGGTCACTGGTGGTTTCTTCGTAGTATTTAAGTATCCTGAGCTTGAGATTAAATGATTGTCAACTGAAAATTAACTGGCAACAGTTTTGATAAATCACTTAAGTAGCTTTTCAGCAAAAACACCAAAAGGTCTCTAAAATGAGAACGTTTGCTCTTTTTTTACTGTCATCTTTGATTGTAAGCAGAATGTTTTGGGGGGTTTAGGTGGTTGGATTGACTGTTAATGTAGCTGCATGTTATTATGACAGTCGTATGATGATGAAACAGTTGCAGCTCTTTGCTGATCTGATGCTGTATGAGGCAGGAATAGCGGCGCTGCATGACATGGTGCATCTAAACACTAAAACAAAGGCACCTGGACGTGCTTGAGTTTCTTGAAGACGCTTCACCTCTCCGAGGTGTCTTCAGGTCTAAGCGACTGGTGGAGAGCTCAGGACAGTTAAACAGAGTTGCTGAGGTCACCTGAGGTTTCCCAACCAGGTGGAGCCTCTTACTATTTAATACTGTAGCGGTTCCATGCGGGCAAGCAAACAGCATTGTGTGGGTTTAGCTGGTAAAGGGGGAACCATAACAAAGTCTTCTACGGTGCTCAATGACCACAAGCTGCACACAAATCAAGCTGTGATAAACAAGACAATGATCACATCTCCCAGTAGCGTATGAAGCAGCTGTGTGCGGTTGGTTTCTGGTGCCTGTATGACAACAGGTGTAGATAAAGAAATGGCCTGAGATCAATTAAACATCCAAGTACAGCTGGACCTCAGAGAAACTCAGATTACAGCTCTCGCAGAGGGACTCCACCACATCTTAACATAGCAGATAGCAAACTACTATTCAAAGTGTACTGGACCTTTAAGATCAGCGGCTCTTCGCGCCCTCACGTGTCCTAACAAAGCTTCTGTTTGTGTTTCAGCCCTGAGATGAGTCCGCTGAAGTCTGTGCCTCAGATTAGAATAGACATGGACCCAGACGATGATAATTCGTTCTTCTGGAGGAGCAGAGGATCTGAAACATCTCTGTAGAGCACCGAACCACCGCCTGGCAGCCTGCAGCACCACAACACTCGCCTCCTCCTGCTGACTCCAACCATTCAGTTAAATCTCCTCCACAGTTTTTAAGACTTTCTTTTAAATACGTGGCACTGGACAAAAAAAAGGGAACACATCACCAGACACAGTAAAGAAACCTTTTTTTTTTTTCTGTTATTACAACATTTTCAACTACTTCTTTCCGCTCCGTCTTCTCTTGGTATTTTTCTCACAACTCCACAGTCTTTGTGTTCAAACGCTGATTCATGTAACTCTACTACTCTTCTATGCAACGACTCCTCCACATATCACTGATCAACAGTAAACACTGCACTTCTCTGACCACGCATGGAGTGCCCTCCCTACTCTTTTTATATAAATATATATAAATATCATCAGTCTGAATTTTTATATAAACCGAATTACTCTAATAACATTTTCCTGTAGCAGGAAAATTATGTTTTTTATAGCTCTACCTCTTGTTTTAGATTCAATGCTTATTATGAACAAATGCAACATGTTGATTTTTAACGCAGCATGGGGTTTTGATATTTTCTCTCTGTCCTCTTGTAGAGTTGAAATGATTCCAGAGATTCACTGTATTATAGCTTGACAAGAAATGAAATAGATATTTAAGTTAATTAACAGTTAATTAACACTGCACATTTGTATGTGCACATGAGGTAAATATTTTTATCATCACTTTTTGATGCAGTTTTGATTGCTTCACCTTCCTCTTTCTAATTTTCTGAATCTTTCTTTCACTCGTTCACTTCAAAGCTTTTGTTACTCGTTTAAATTAAATCATGTTTCCTTTTTTTTTTTTGGTTTTTGCTTTTTTTAATGATTCGTTGTGTGAATGTCGGTAACGTTTCTTGTGTCTTTTTTTTTGTTCTTCTTTTCTTTCTTTGCGTGTAGAAGACAGTTCAGCGATACATAATGATCCGATTTTCCTCAGCCAAACTTAAACTCTAACTAGGAATGCATATCATAATTGCTTGTGCTGCACAAACTACTTTACCTAAGTGGCTTATAAGAGATTGATCCAGACGGAAATTCAAACAGTAACGATTTGCAAAAGGATTACGATACAGGAATCAAATCCACGTAAGCTCTGTGCAGTGGGACAGCTTCAGTTCACAGTGAGGTCATTTCTGTTTTTCTCAGCTGGTGTTGGAATTATCTGATGTGAACATGTTTTTTTTCTTTTTGTTTTATACATTGAAGGATGTGTTTGGCTCCTAATAAAACTTTCTCACAGTCATGCAGCTGTGCTAAACAGGAACTCTGCCTCAGCTGAAGAGGTTTAACCTTCTTTTGAGTCTGCATGTGTGAACTTGGGGCTCATTTGTTGGCTGCTGTTGTGTTCTGGCAGCTTCCAGGTGATGAACAGCTCAACAAAGAAACACAAAAAGGACATTTCACGTTACAACACTGTCATTGTTTTTTGTCTAGATTTGCAAACCTGTGTAAGCAGAGTTCTTCATAGTGAACATGTGACACAAGAGAGTTATATTAAACCCAAACGCATCCTTTAAAAAAACATTCACAGTTGATACGAGTTCATCTCCGTCAAGGCAGAACATGTAAAAACTCCACATTCACCCCATGTTTGAGCATTTCCTACAGAGTGGCCACACAGTCTAAGAAGAAAACAAAGACAAGTTTCCAGTTTATATCAGCCTTGTGTATTTCCTATTAAATGACGCTTTGTTTCTTTAAGCGTCTCGCTGACTTTGCACCTCTGTTGTAGAGAGTCAGGGAGACGATGAGTCGCACAAAATGATGGTTATCAGAGCAAAAACGCAACTCTGGCCAGTTCCAGAAGACAGAAAACCTTAAACACATGTTGCAAAAATTTTTTAAAATGAAAAATGAGTCTTTTTTGTGTCAGAAGGTGGCGCTGCAGGCTGCACGTGGAGAGCAGAAGAAGCCAGACATAACAGCAACGTCTTTGTCAACCACAAAAACACAAACAAAGCTTTGGCTGTCTGTGAAAAAAAAATAATGTAGAGAAGTCTTCAGGAATACTTTTTTTTTTGTAGCAAGAAAACGTGCATTATTCTTTGGTGTCGTCTGGAGTCTCTAGAAGCAGAAACAGCTGATCAGTCATTCAAGTCAAATGCTCACCACGTCGGCGCTCAAAAAGAAACTCAACAAAGTCAAGTGAGCGTAAAAACTTTTTTTTTTTTAATTGCCAACCTTTTTTCCCTCCTTTCCAAACTTTGCCTTTTTAATGAGTGTTCTCTAATTCTAATACTCCAACATGCCACTAATTATCTAAACAGGGCTTGAACTAACCAACATAGAAACACCAATTAGCCACCATGTTGGTTGGTGAAAACTAAATCCTGTGGAACTTATTTTTGCAGTTATGAGCCATTTTATCTTGTTTGCTCCGACCTCAGAAAACCATCTGCGGGCTCGCACACGTCAACAAACCAAACAAATGC